CCTGACATCGATGAGCCGACATTAATCGGAGGTGACATTGCTATCAAGCCTGGAGCTGACAGAAACGCTGACCCCTGCACCTCCAGAGGCTGCATGTGGGGAAAGTGGACTGATGGGAAAGTCTATGTCCCATACTACATCGCCAATCACTACTGTGAGTATTTATTTCTTAATCATGGAAGAGGCCAATGCCAGGTTATCTACAGTGTTTATGCCTGGTGGACAACAATTCATCTTTACACTGACTTGTTATTATAACATTTCTATTTGTATTCAATCTAATGACTTTCAAACTCTGCCCTTTGATACCAACTAACCTTCGTTTTAAGAATTAATACATGAATGTACCATAAGCACTTTCCTGAATCAATAACCTCACATATACACCAGTTAAAAGGTTGGACACCGTCTCATACTGAAGACATCAAATATATGAAGCAAGATATACGAAATTATGTAGCAAAGAAAAAGTTGATGATTAACTCTAAATATTTATTATATTTTAGATTGCTGAAAGTAGCCACCCTTTGCTTTGACAGTGCTGCAAACCCTTGGCCTTATCTCGATGAGCTTCATGATGTAGTCACCTGAAATGGTTTTCCCTTCACAGGTGAGCCTGTCAGGGTTCATTTGTGGAAGTTCTTGCCTTCTTAATGCGGTTGGGACCATCAGATGTGTTGTGCTAAACTGCTAGAATTCATATTATGGCGAGAACCAATCAGCTAAGTAAAGAGAAACCACAGTCCATCATTACTTTAAGAACTGAGGTCAGTCAGTCTGGAAAATTCCTAAAAGATTGAATGTGTCCCCAAGTGCAGTTGCAAAAATCATCAAATGGTACGATGAAACTGGCTCACATGAGGACCACCCCAGGAAAGGAAGACCAAGAGTCATCAGCCTGAGAAATCACAAGTCAACAGCAGCTCTAGTTAGAGTTAATCAACTGTTCAGAGGAGACTGCACGAATCAGGCCATTATGGTCAAATAGCTGCTAAGAAACCACGACTAAGGAAAAGCAACAAGCAGAGATTTGTTTGGGTCAACAGATGGTCTCTACATGCATGGTTCCCACCGTGAAGCATGGATGAGGGGGTGTGATGGTGTGGGGGCACACTGAACCAGCATGGCTACCACAGCACCCTGCACCAACATGCCATCCCATCTGGTTTGCATTTAGTTGGACCATCATGTGTTTTTCACCAGGACAATGACCCCAAACACACCTCCAGGCTGTGTGAGGGCTGTTTGACCAAGAAGGAGAGTGATGGAGTGCTGCGTCAGATGGCCGGGCTTCACCTGAGCTAAACCCACTGGAGATGTTTTGGGATAAGGACCGCAAAGTGAAGGCAAAAGGGTCAACAACTGCTCAGCATCTCTGGGAACTCTTTCAAGACTGTTGGAGAATCATTTTATGTGACGACCTCTCTCATGGAGAGAATGCCAAGAGTGTGCAAAGCAGTAACCAAAGCAAAGGGCGGCTGTTTTGAAGAATCTACATGTTTTTAGTTATTTCACATTTTGTTGTTTACTACATAATTCCATGTTTTACCAGCTTCCCGTGAGATTGCCATCATCACTCGTGGACTAGAGTCCTTCTCTTCAATTTCCTGCATTCGTTTCAGACCCTACCAGGACGGCGATCATGAGTGGCTGAGCATCGAGTCCAGAAATGGGTAAAGCTCCGAGTCTCACCATTTCTTTATTCTTACCACCTTCGGTGAGCCACATGCAGTTAGTAGGATTAAAAATTTACCTGGAGATTGTAAGTTTTCTATTTTAGTTTTAAAGTATCACAACTCCTCCTTTCATTAGTTTATAATGAAACAAAACCCGTTCTTTAATCAAGTGATTACAAATGTTTTAGGGACCACTAATATTGTAAGTAGCCAACGAGTGACTACTGGCCAGATTCAATATAATTCATCATATGTTCAAATACATTATTGTTGTCCTATGAGGTGTGTGAAGCAACACTTACAGATATACATGTACAAAAGGCTTTTGTGATTTCTAAATATTGCTGGACTTTTCTGTTTTAACAGCTGCTACTCCTACGTGGGTCGCCAGGGTGGGGGTCAAACTGTGTCTCTAAGCCGTCAGGGCTGTCTTTACCACAGCACTGTCCAGCATGAACTACTCCACGCCCTAGGCTTCAATCACGAGCAGACCCGCTCTGACAGGGACAACCACATCAGGGTGTACTGGGAAAACATCCTTGATGGTCAGTCACCATTTTCTGTGCTAATTTGGATTTTGTGTTAAAGTAGTTCAAAGCACGAAGCAGCTCTAGAGAAAGAAAACGTCGAATTAAGGTTGAGATGAAGGTTTTATTGCACTGAGCTAAAGTTCAGTAAATAAATTTAAAAAAAAACTAAAGATGATAGCATAATCTGTCAACAAAGATTAATACAACTTTAGAATAAAGCTGTTTATGAATGTGTGTGTAGATGGGCTAATGAGGCTCATAGTAAACGGCACTTAGTTAAATCAGACAAGTGCTATATAGTTACTGATCAATTTACCGCTTAGAGCATTTAGTTATCTCCAGAGGGGGTGCAGCCCTTTCAACCATGTTTTTATTACTTTAAATCTTTAGTTATTTTTTATTGTTAGTGGAGTTCATTTTTTATTGATTTGTTTACTTTTTAAGACATAATTTTAGTTTTTAGCTTAAAATTAGTTCATGACAACAACCCTAAATGGGAGGTTCAATGGATGCTTTATTAAAATGATTATACATAATATAAAAATGTGCATTTGTTAGATATTTGAGTTCCCACACGTCATGCACACATATCTCATTCTCACAGACATGATCTACAATTTCTATAAGATTGATACTCTAAACCAGGGAAC